TCCATTCCTCTCCACTCTAGTATCCTCACTCACCACTCTCGCCCTCAGTAGACCTCACGAGTAATCAAGTAAGATATCAATGAATCCATTCCTCTCCACTCTAGTAACCTCACTCACCACTGTCGCCCTCAGCAGACCTCAAGAGTACTCAAGTAAGATACCAATGAATCCATTCCTCTCCACTCTAGTATCCTCAGTCACCACTGTCGCCCTCAGCAGGTCTCAAGAGTACTCAAGTAAGATACCAATGAATCCATTCCTCTCCACTCTAGTATCCTCACTCACCACTGTCGCCCTCAGCAGACCTCACGAGTACTCAAGTAAGATATCAATGAATCCATTCCTCTCCACTCTTGTATCCTCACTCACCACTGTCGCCCTCAGCAGACCTCAAGAGTACTCAAGTAAGATATCAATGAATCCATTCCTCTCCACTCTAGTATCCTCACTCACCACTGTCGCCCTCAGCAGACCTCAAGAGTACTCAAGTAAGATACCAATGAATCCATTCCTCTCCACTCTAGTATCCTCAGTCACCACTGTCGCCCTCAGCAGACCTCAAGAGTACTCAAGTAAGATACCAATGAATCCATTCCTCTCCACTCTAGTATCCTCAGTCACAACTGTCGCCCTCAGCAGATCTCAAGAGTACTCAAGTAAGATACCAATGAATCCATTCCTCTCCACTCTAGTATCCTCACTCACCACTGTCGCCCTCAGCAGACCTCACGAGTACTCAAGTAAGATATCAATGAATCCATTCCTCTCCACTCTAGTATCCTCACTCACCACTGTCGCCCTCAGCAGACCTCACGAGTACTCAAGTAAGATATCAATGAATCCATTCCTCTCCACTCTAGTATCCTCACTCACCATTCTCGCCCTCAGCAGACCTCACCAGTACTCAAGTAAGAGATCAATGAATCAATTCCTCTCCACTCGTGTATCCTCAGTCACCACTGTTGCCCTCAGCAGACCTCACGAGTACTCAAGTAAGATATCAATGAATCCATTCTTCTCCACTCTAGTATCCTCACTCACCACTGTCGCCCTCAGCAGACTTCACGAGTACTCAAGTAGGATATTAATGAATCCATTCCTCTCCACTCTGGTATCCTCACTCACCACTGTTGCCCTCAGCAGACCTCACGAGTACTCAAGTAAGATATCAATGAATCCATTCTTCCTCTCCACTCTAGTATCCTCACTCACCACTGTCGCCCTCAGCAGACCTCACGAGTACTCAATTAAGATATCAATGAATCCATTCCTCTCCACTCTAGTATCCTCACTCACCACTGTCGCCCTCAGCAGACCTCACGAGTACTCAAGTAAGATATCAATGAATCCATTCCTCTCCACTCTAGTATCCTCACTCACCACTGTCGCCCTCAGCAGACCTCACGAGTACTCAAGTAAGATATCAATGAATCCATTCCTCTCCACTCTAGTATCCTCACTCACCACTGTCGCCGTCAGCAGACCTCAAGAGTACTCAAGTAAGATATCAATGAATCCATTCCTCTCCACTCTAGTATCCTCACTCACCACTGTCGCCCTCAGCAGACCTCACGAGTACTCAAGTAAGATATCAATGAATCCATTCCTCTCCACTCTAGTATCCTCACTCACCACTGTCGCCCTCAGCAGACCTCACGAGTACTCAAGTAAGATATCAATGAATCCATTCCTCTCCACTCTAGTATCCTCACTCACCATTCTCGCCCTCAGCAGACCTCAAGAGTACTCAAGTAAGATACCAATGAATCCATTCCTCTCTACTCTAGTATCCTCACTCACCACTGTCGCCCTCAGCAGACCTCACGAGTACTCAAGTAAGATATCAATGAATCCATTCCTCTCCACTCTTGTATCCTCACTCACCACTGTCGCCCTCAGCAGACCTCAAGAGTACTCAAGTAAGATATCAATGAATCCATTCCTCTCCACTCTAGTATCCTCACTCACCACTGTCGCCCTCAGCAGACCTCAAGAGTACTCAAGTAAGATATCAATGAATCCATTACTCTCCACTCTAGTATCCTCACTCACCACTGTCGCCCTCAGCAGACCTCAAGAGTACTCAAGTAAGATACCAATGAATCCATTCCTCTCCACTCTAGTATCCTCAGTCACCACTGTCGCCCTCAGCAGATCTCAAGAGTACTCAAGTAAGATACCAATGAATCCATTCCTCTCCACTCTAGTATCCTCACTCACCACTGTCGCCCTCAGCAGACCTCAAGAGTACTCAAGTAAGATATCAATGAATCCATTCCTCTCCACTCTAGTATCCTCACTCACCACTGTCGCCCTCAGCAGACCTCACGAGTACTCAAGTAAGATATCAATGAATCCATTCCTCTCCACTCTAGTATCCTCACTCACCACTGTCGCCCTCAGCAGACCTCACGAGTACTCAAGTAAGATATCAATGAATCCATTCCTCTCCACTCTAGTATCCTCACTCACCATTCTCGCCCTCAGCAGACCTCAAGAGTACTCAAGTAAGATACCAATGAATCCATTCCTCTCCACTATAGTATCCTCAGTCACCACTGTCGCCCTCAGCAGACCTCACGAGTACTCAAGTAAGATATCAATGAATCCATTCCTCTCCACTCTAGTATCCTCACTCACCACTGTCGCCCTCAGCAGACCTCAAGAGTACTCAAGTAAGATATCAATGAATCCATTCCTCTCCACTCTAGTATCCTCACTCACCACTGTCGCCCTCAGCAGACCTCACGAGTACTCAAGTAAGATATCAATGAATCCATTCCTCTCCACTCTAGTATCCTCACTCACCACTGTCTCCCTCAGCAGACCTCAAGAGTACTCAAGTAAGATACCAATGAATCCATTCCTCTCCACTCTAGTATCCTCAGTCACCACTGTCGCCCTCAGCAGACCTCACGAGTACTCAAGTAAGATACCAATGAATTCATTCCTCTCCACTCTAGTATCCTCACTCACCACTGTCGCCCTCAGCAGACCTCAAGAGTACTCAAGTAAGATACCAATGAATCCATTCCTCTCCACTCTAGTATCCTCAGTCACCACTGTCGCCCTCAGCAGACCTCAAGAGTACTCAAGTAAGATACCAATGAATCCATTCCTCTCCACTCTAGTATCCTCAGTCACCACTGTCGCCCTCAGCAGACCTCACAAGTACTCAAGTAAAATACCAATGAATCCATTCCTCTCCACTCTAGTATCCTCACTCACCACTGTCTCCCTCAGCAGACCTCAAGAGTACTCAAGTAAGATACCAATGAATCCATTCCTCTCCACTCTAGTATCCTCAGTCACCACTGTCGCCCTCAGCAGACCTCACGAGTACTCAAGTAAGATACCAATGAATCCATTCCTCTCCACTCTAGTATCCTCACTCACCACTGTCTCCCTCAGCAGACCTCAAGAGTACTCAAGTAAGATACCAATGAATCCATTCCTCTCCACTCTAGTATCCTCAGTCACCACTGTCGCCCTCAGCAGACCTCACGAGTATTCAAGTAGGATACCAATGAATCCATTCCTCTCCACTCTAGTATCCTCACTCACCACTGTCTCCCTCAGCAGACCTCCAGAGTACTCAAGTAAGATATCAATGAATCCATTCCTCTCCATTCTAGCATCCTTACTCACCACTGTCGCCCTCAGCAGACCTCACGAGTACTCAAGTAAGATATCAATGAATCCATTCCTCTCCACTCTAGTATCCTCACTCACCACTGTCGCCCTCAGCAGACCTCACGAGTACTCAAGTAAGATATCAATTAATCCATTCCTCTCCATTCTAGTATCCTTACTCACCACTGTCGCCCTCAGCAGACCTCACGAGTACTCAAGTAAGATATCAATGAATCCATTCCTCTCCACTCTAGTATCCTCACTCACCACTTTAGCCCTCAGCAGACCTCACGAGTACTCAAGTAAGATATCAATGAATCCATTCCTCTCCACTCTAGTATCCTCACTCACCACTGTCGCCCTCAGCAGACCTCACGAGTACTCAAGTAAGATATCAATGAATCCATTCCTCTCCACTCTAGTATCCTCACTCACCACTGTCGCCCTCAGCAGACCTCACGAGTACTCAAGTAAGATATCAATGAATCCATTCCTCTCTATTCTAGTATCCTTACTCACCACTGTCGCCCTCAGCAGACCTCACGAGTACTCAAGTAAGATATCAATGAATCCATTCCTCTCCACTCTAGTATCCTCACTCACCACTGTCACCCTCAGCAGACCTCACGAGTACTCAAGTAAGATATCATTGAATCCATTCCTCTCCATTCTAGTATCCTTACTCACCACTGTCGCCCTCAGCAGACCTCACGAGTACTCAAGTCAGATATCAATGAATCCATTCCTCTCCACTCTAGTATCCTCACTCACCACTTTAGCCCTCAGCAGACCTCACGAGTACTCAAGTAAGATATCAATGAATCCATTCCTCTCCACTCTAGTATCCTCACTCACCATTTTAGCCCTCAGCAGACCTCACGAGTACTCAAGTAAGATATCAATGAATCCATTCCTCTCCACTCTAGTATCCTCCCTCACCACTGTCTCATCCACCAAACTGTCTCATGCAACCCCCAAGTGAAAAGAAAACGTGAGTTATTTCTTGTGTTCCCCCGGTTTCCTCGCACAATAACAGGCTGTTGTCGTATGCGTAGCAAAAACGCAAAATAATATTTTTTGCTGTTGTGTTTTTTTCCAACTTTCTCAGCGTCAAGGCTCATTTGTAATCAAACTGAATGTCTGTGCTTGCTCAAAAAAGTTTTGAAAATGACTGCAACTTTTGTTTTCTCTGTGAAGTTTTTTTTCTGCGCTTTTTATGCTTTTTAAAATCTAAACAAGAAATTTAACAAGAAATTCCGCTAATGGAAACATTTTTTTATCGATATAAATCAAAGATTCCTTCCATATATTTTCTTTTTCGGTTTTGTCTGAATAATTGATAAAATGGAAGCTCTCCCTTTATTTAGTCCTGGCTCTGAGTGGGAAGTATCAGAACAGAAGTGTGTTCAACTTGAGTGACATCTGCACTTGCGAAGTGGAGACGAGTGATTACAGCAGCGACTGCAGTGTGTTCACTGTCCACAAACCAGCACTAGTGGGAGTGGTCGGAAGCACCGACATGATCCTCATGCTAACTGGTAAATAGTGTAGATTTTGCAGCGGTGTTTGCTGGGGTGGATTTCAAGGGGGAGCTAGACTCCTCCACTCCTCGGTGTTTTGACCCTCTCCCCGTCTGATACTATTTTACGACATTTGTTTATCGCCCACCGGCCATTTTGTTTTTTAGTTCAGGGGGAGCGCGCGCCAAAACAACGCGATTTCTAGGTTGGAAAACTCCGATAACATTATCCTGAAAATCCGCCGCATAGAACTAGACCAATTTCTTGGGTTTTGGTAGAACTCCTGCTAACCCAAGTCAAAACTGCTAACCCAAGTCAGAATTCTGCGCCGCAGGTAGTTTTTTTTTAAAATAAAAAACGCCGTTTTTAGTAGTTTTGAGAAAATGTTTGCTTAAAAATGGTATTTCGCCCCGCGCTGAGCGAATAGAGTTGAGTAGAGCCTTCCATCAGTGTTTGCGAAGAGCGGCATTTGCTTAAAACTTTGTTTTTCCGACTTTCAATTAAATTGACGGAATATTTCTCGTTTTTTTTGTATATCATCTGAACACTTTTGATCTCTTGGCTTAAAAATCAACAATCCTTAAAAATCTTTTTGTCACACCGCGCAGAAAAAAACTACACTAATTGGACATTTTGGTACATATATCGTAATAAGGTAAGTCCTCTTAAAACCTCAGCTGCAAAGCCACCCTAGTCGATCAAGGGAGGTTATCTTGCAAGATCTTGCAAGATTCTTGCAAAAGAGGGTTATCTTGCAAGATCTTGCAAGATGGAGGTTATCTTGCAAGATCTTTTAAAGAGATGCATCCTCTTTAAAAGAATCTTGCAAGATTCTTGCAAGATCTTGCAAGATAACCTCCCTTGATCGACTAGGGCAATCGTTTAAAATTGAAATGAGGCAATGTTCTTATTATTACGATACCACACTCAAAAATTTCACCTGTGAATTTTATAGTGTATGGGGTAAAAACTATATAAACAAAAAAGATTCATTTTTTTCAAAATTCTTTCTCATTTTTCAATCAATTTCATCGGGAAATTAATGGCCAGTCGAAAAATCTCTGCTCCACCCTGTTACAAGTAATCTTTTGAAATACATAACTGGCTCGATTTTTTGTTATGCCAGATCTTTGAATAAGTTATTCTACCTTACAAAGCTTGCCCTATAACTTCTGGGATAATTCAATGCCAGATTTGTTTTGAATTGAAAAAAATGGCACAAAAAAGCTAATCGTATCGCTTAGGATTTTGAAGCAGTCTTTAAGGAAAAAAAATATCAATTAAAACTTTCAAATCGGACAAAAATTTATATATGTTTTGGCAAATCCTCTCCCAAAATTTTTTTTTGATATAAACTAACAGATTTCTCATCAAGCTAGTTAAGCGTTATATAGACCAAATATTTGCAAGGCCTCATTATTCAGGTCTTTCAAAAATGAACTTTGTATTCGTGTGTGTTGTAGTTTTTTTAATATTCATGCAATATCAGGTACAAAAAATCATCAGAATGGGTTGAGTGATATACCGAAACGAATCTTTTCAGTCATGATTTGATGCCTTTTAAAAAATTTTCAAAAAACTTTCTCAGTATTGAGAAAAACTGGCTTAAATTTTTGATTTCTATTTTCTATTTGAGCAAATAAAGCGAGCGAGCAGGCTTAAAACATCTTATTTATGCAATTTGAGCCCTGAGTTAGTTTTTGAAATTTTATAGCCTTTTTGGGAAACTTTTTTTAATTGGAGAAGTTTTGAAAATTTTCCCAAATTTGAAAAAAAATTTGTTTTTCTAGTCTTTTTTCTGAAAAAGTTCTTCAACAACTTTTACTAAATTATTATAACTGGCTATCCTTGTTTCAGTGTTTGCAACTGCTTTGAACTGATTTAAATTTCCGCCTACGATGAACGTTTTAATAAAAATGCTAAAAAGTCTTTATTATTTACCACTATTTCGCCAAAAGGGCAGTTTTCACCACCTCATATTGAGTACTTTTTCAATTTGAGCTCAAAAAATCAATTTTTGTCTGTTTGTGTAACTTCTTTTGTTGAGTTCAATAATTTGTATATGCCGACACCGAGTGTATTTTTTTCGATCTCTAGAGTAAAATTTCTTCGAAAACCTCTTAAGCGTTCTATATGATAAAGCAAATGAACCGAAATGGTTTGAAAGCTCACAATAACCAAATAGGCGTGGGGTTGACAGAGACTGTTTTATATAATAGCTGAGCTTGAAACCCTGATGTTCCGACCGCATTTTGATGCTGATTACAAAATCGTTGGTTGAAAAATTGATATGAAAAAATTGACAGAAAAAAAAACATATTTTTTTATTATCTGATTCCTTAAAAAGTTATTTAAAATACAAAAAGATGTATTAAACGCCTCATGTCTTAATAAAAAGGCCAAACTACTTGCCTCAGTTACACTTGGAAAGATTTAACCCGCTGCTTACTGGCATTATCAGAACGCAATATATCGTGCGTTAATTATCCCATTTTGGTCGAGTTAGTCATTTTCAAACCCCCATCGTTTAAAAAAAAACTGAAAACGGTTCATTTTTTTTATTCACGCTCCGGACAAAAATGTTTTTGAAATTCTTTAATGTTTTTTTTTGAAAATTTAGTCAATTTTTTTTCAAGCGACCACTCTTATAGATACCAATTCTGTGGGAACATTCAGTTATTCGCCCGGATACGCGCAGTCTTGCTTAACTTTCTGCTATGAAAACTTGCTACTATTTTCAGTGGGTCCCATGGACTGGCAGAAGAGGGAGTCGGTGGTGTTCGAGTGTCGACACTCCTTCGTCCCCCTCATCACCTTCTATGCATTCCCTCTGCACTTCGAAACTGTCGTCAATGAAATCATCGGCGGGTGAGAAGAAAAAACTAATTGAATACTTTTTCACATAAATTGCTGAAGTTCTGCTCGTTGCTAGTTAGTGAAAACAACACAGACCACCTCAAATTATCCAAAAGAGCTGCTAGTAGCTCCTAATCAGGGGCGTAAGAGCTAAATAACTACCGTTAGACCGGCAAGGCGACAACTCGTCGAAAGCGACAATTGTTAGTGTTTTGGCACTGAATGTTTGCCGCTTAATCTACAGTTACGCATTCTCGTCTGGTCCAAGTTATCGCTTAGTGAAATGTTTCTAGCCTGAAAAAAAAAACAGATGTTTTTTTTTTCTTCGTTTTTCACCAAATGTCACTTATGACGATCGACGAGTTGTCCCCTCAAAATTTTGACTAGTTCGAGTTCGACTAATATCTCCCATTTAATGTCTGAAATGTGTGCATTCTAGGGAGAGTGTGGCCTCTGTTCTTGACGAGACTGTTCTGAGCAGTCCCTCCCCCTGGATCAACTCCAACACCATCAACCAGGTGTTGCTATCCAGAGAGGAGCACTACAAGACAGGCAAACTGGAGAATACTTACATAAAGACATCTGTTAGTCAATCTTTTTCACATGTGTCGCAATTTAGTAGGGAGGTGATTTTGGTGTTTTCTAGCTGTGATGCGGAAATTCTGGCTCTCAAACCTTTTTTCCATAAAATCGCGAGAACTAATTCATCGGTTAAGCCTATAAGAATTTTGTACCTATACGAAACGCAACCCTTATGCAAGGGGGGATAGTAAACATATCCAACATTTCTTAGATATCCTAAGTTTCAAGTTTCTTATAACTTTGAAGTTTCTTATAAAGCTCACACTTTCTTTGTTTCTGATAACTTTCTTTCAAGTTTCGCATCAACTACTAACAAGTTTACTGAAAGTTCTTTCAAGTTTCTTAATCACTTGTTAAAGTTTCAAGTATCTGATAATGTTCTTTTTGTCCTGAAGGTACTACAGGGCTCTCACGAGTACGATGACCTCACCCAGGTCATGTTCGCCATGCGAGAGGGTCAAGTGGTCATGGTGGACAAGTTGTACAAGGGCACTTTTTGGGCACTGGTCACCCTCATGTGCACTGTTCTACTCTCAGTGGAAAGGTATGTAGTTGGGGATTGAGACACTAGACGACAAGCAAATTAGACGATATAAAAAAAGTGGAATATAGGCGAGACCACAAAATGCATATAGTCCGTTTTATCCCGTTTTATTAATATCGTATAGTTTGAACGTCAACACACCCCTTCCCCCGTGTCATCGGGATATAATTGGGATGTCATTGGGTTGTAAACTAGAGTATGATTGACAGCTGTTCGTACCATCGGGTTTGATTGACAGCTGTTGCTACCTGTTCACACCTGCCGACCTTTAGTTTAGAGTCTGATATTGACAGGCACCAGCTGTTGTTTCCGAGTTGAATTGAATTACATATGAGCACAATTCAGAATTAAAATTATGTCGAAAATCTCGTGTTTTCTTAACAGGTCAGTGGCATTCATCAACAGAGCGAAGAACAACAGACAGCAGAAGCTAATGCAAATAAACAATAACAACAATACCAACCTAACAGCCACTGAGATACGAGTGTCCGAAGCAGGCGACGACGCTGACATCAGGGCCACCCCGTCTCCGAGTGCACCCGATCCGAACTTCGGAAACAAGGATGATGGTGTGAATTCACGAGTGTTCTGGAGCGCAAGGAGTGGATAATTATCTAATCGGAACACGACTGCATTTATGCACTCAAAACTTCAGAATACATTGCAACTATTGCAGCACTTAGCATGTTTTTGCCCTGAGATCGGATCACTTAATTGACTGCATGATAATTTTTCATGAACTTCTTCAAGTGTCAGAGTTTGTTTACTGTTTTCTAAAAGTAAGCTTTACTGTGCTTTAATCAAGAGGTTTCAGAGGTTCTTCATAAAGGTCCATCATCGAGATATGCTTCATAAGGCATTCTGTTTGCTTCTTTCAATATTGAAAACAAATTTCACATCATTGGTACCAAAAATGGTTATTTTTAAAAAAAAAAATTTTACATCCTCCCCCGAATATTATAAAAAAAAAATCAATTCGTTAGAGAGGGATGAAAATCGTCTGAGCTCAAGCAACTTAGTCTTCAATATAGCGATGACAGTTCTTTATCAGGTGCCATATACCATATTGCGGATGTAGAACTTTCTCAAAGGGGGGGGGGGTATTTTCAGAAACTTTCGAAAACTTTGTTGACATTTTTTTCGGTGAACCAAATTGATTTTTCGAGCGCTTCGCATACTATAAAGGCCCAAATTCGACACAAATTTCGGCATAGCAGGCTAATTCAACAAAACCGGGTCATAATTGACACTTTGGAAATTTGTCATTAAAAGGCCAAACTGTGCATTCTGTGCATTGTATGCGCTTTCCACAACAGGCCAAAATCAGATTTGTTGCGGAATCCACATCATTGCTACTTTTCTTTGATCTTCTTTGTTGTTATAGATTCCACAAACATATGCTTCAAACACTGTTCCGCTCAAAACCGCTCCAAAAATAGACGAATTTGCGAAATCCGCAACCGTATTTGCGGAATCCAAAACAGTTTGTGGAGTCCACAAACAAACAATAAGACATGTGTATAGTTTAATTGAGCTGTTGCAGAATCCACAACTGTAAGCGGAATCCGCAAATTGTAAGTGGATTCCGCATTTTGTTTGCAGATTCCGTTTACAAAAAAATCAGGCGAATTTAGAATTTAGGGGAGGCGGGGGCTCGGACGCCTTCTTTTCCTCAGGGATTCGACCCCTGCCGAACTAATAGGTCCTCCCTTTGGTACTTTTTAAGAAATCCAACCCAAAATTTTTCTAAAGGCGCTTCAGGCGCCAAAAAATACTAACTTTGAAGGGGAGCGCGCGCCAAAAAAAAACGCAATTTTTTTGTCAAAATTTTCCAAAAAATTCCCAAAAACGGCTTTTTTTATCTATTTAGAAAATTTGGCCAAATCGGTGTCTTTTTAATCTTTAGGAATGCTTGGAAATTCAATTTGGTCGACTTTAAAAAAAGAAAAGGTTGTCGAAATTTTCCAAAAAGTGCCCAAAAACGGCTTTTTTGACCTATTTTTTTTTAAATATGCCTACGGCGCAGAAAATTTGGCCAAATCAGTGTCTTTTTAATCTTTAGGAATCCTTGGAAACTCATTTTGGTCGACTTTAAAAGAAGAAAAAGTCGTCAACATTTTCGAAAAACTTTTGAAAATCCTAGATCCGCCCCTGAAAAAAAAATGCGTTTGTTCGGCGAGCTTTCCATTTCAAATTTAGTATATACTGGCGCCAAAGGCGCCTCAAGAAAATTTTTAGGTTTAGTCATCAAAAACTGATGTCAGAAACTAAAACCCAATAAAACCGCGAGGGAAAGACACCTCGGTTGGTAAGTGGGACAAATATTTCCACCGAGTACGAGTCTAGAGGGAAGATCGGATCGTATATCGGTTACACTGTTAAATGCTCTCATTAAAAAAAAACACCCTTGAATATTATTTTTTAGGTTGACCGAATTGATTTTCCGAGCTCTCCCAAAGAACTTAAAGGTCCTTGTTTGGGCCAAATATTGAGCCTCGCAGGCAAAATTTTGAAAAAACAGGCCAAAAAAACTTTTTTCAATTTTTTGGAAATTTATCACCAAAACATTGCGTTTTTTCGGCGCGCGTTCCCCTCAAAATTAGTATATACTGGCGCCAAAGGCGCCTCAAGAAAATTTTTAAGTTTAGTCATCAAAAACTGATGTCAGAAACTAAAACCCAATAAAACCGCGAGGGAAAGACACCTCGGTTGGTAAGTGGGACAAATGTTTCTACCGAGTAAGAGTGTAGAGGGAAGATCGGATCGTATATCGGTTACACTGTTAAATGCTCTCATTAAAAAAAAACACCCTTGAATATTATTTTTTAGGTTGACCGAATTGATTTTCCGAGCTCTCCCAAAGAACTTAAAAGTCCTCGTTTGGGCCAAATATTGAGCCTCGCAGGCGAAATTTTGAAAAAACAGTCCAAAAAAACTTTTTTAGATTTTATGGATAACTATCACCAAAACATTGCGTTTTTTTGGCGCGCGTTCCCCCTCAAAACTAGTATATATTGACGAGCAAGGCGCCTTTAGAAAATTTTTAGGGTTCGTCGTCGAAAACTGATGTCAGAAAATAAAACCCAATAAAACCGAGGGAAAGACACCTCGCTTGGTAAGTGGGACAAATATTTCTACCGAGTACGAGTCTAGAGGGAAGATCGGATCGTATATCGGTTACACTGTTAAATGCTCTCATTAAAAACACCCTTGAGTATTATTTTTTAGGTTGACCGAATTGATTTTCCGAGCTCTCCCAAAAAACTTAAAAGTCCTTGTTTGGGCCAAATATTGAGCCTCGCAGGCAAAATTTTGAAAAAACAGGCCAAAAAAACGTTTTTAGATTTTTTGGAAATTTATCACCAAAACATTGCGTTTTTTCGGCGCGCGTTCCCCCTCAAAATTAGTATATACTGGCGCCAAAGGCGCCTCAAGAAAATTTTTAGGTTTAGTCATCAAAAACTGATGTCAGAAATTAAAACCCAATAAAACCGCGAGGGAAAGACACCTCGGTTGGTAAGTGGGACAAATGTTTCTACCGAGTAAGAGTGTAGAGGGAAGATCGGATCGTATATCGGTTACACTGTTAAATGCTCTCATTAAAAAAACACCCTTGAATATTATTTTTTAGGTTGACCGAATTGATTTTCCGAGCTCTCCCAAAGAATTTAAAAGTCCTCGTTTGGGCCAAATATTGAGCCTCGCAGGCGAAATTTTGAAAAAACAGGCCAAAAAAACTTTTTTAGATTTTATGGATAACTATCACCAAAACATTGCGTTTTTTTGGCGCGCGTTCCCCCTCAAAACTAGTACATATTGACGAGCAAGGCGCCTTTAGAAAATTTTTAGGGTTCGTCGTCGAAAACTGATGTCAGAAAATAAAACCCAATAAAACCGAGGGAAAGACACCTCGCTTGGTAAGTGGGACAAATATTTCTACCGAGTACGAGTCTAGAGGGAAGATCGGATCGTATATCGGTTACACTGTTAAATGCTCTCATTAAAAACACCCTTGAGTATTATTTTTTAGGTTGACCGAATTGATTTTCCGAGCTCTCCCAAAAAACTTAAAAGTCCTTGTTTGGGACAAATATTGAGCCTCGCAGGCAAAATTTTGAAAAAACAGGCCAAAAAAACGTTTTTAGATTTTTTGGAAATTTATCACCAAAACATTGCGTTTTTTCAGAGCGCGTTCCCCCTCAAAATTAGTATATACTGGCGCCAAAGGCGCCTCAAGAAAATTTTTAGGTTTAGTCATCAAAAACTGATGTCAGAAACTAAAACCCAATAAAACCGCGAGGGAAAGACACCTCGGTTGGTAAGTGGGACAAATGTTTCTACCGAGTAAGAGTGTAGAGGGAAGATCGGATCGTATATCGGTTACACTGTTAAATGCTCTCATTAAAAAAAACACCCTTGAATATTAATTTTTAGGTTGACCGAATTGATTTTCCGAGCTCTCCCAAAGAACTTAAAAGTCCTGGTTTGGACCAAATATTGAGCCTCGCAGGCAAAATTTTGAAAAAACAGGCCAAAAAAAACTTTTTTCAATTTTTTGGAAAATTATCACCAAAACATTGCGTTTTTTCGGCGCGCGTTCCCCTCAAAATTAGTATATATTGACGAGCAAGGCGCCTTTAGAAATTTTTTAGGGTTCGTCGTCAAAAAATGATGTCAGAAAATGAAAACCAATAAAACCGAGGGAAAGACACCTCGGTTGGTAAGTGGGACAAATGTTTCCACCGAGTACGAGTCTAGAGGGAAGATCGGATCGTATATCGGTTACACTGTTAAATGCTCTCATTAAAAAAAACACCCTTGAATATTGTTTTTTAGGTTGACCGAATTGATTTTCCGAGCTCTCCCAAAGAACTTAAAAGTCCTGGTTTGGGTCAAATATTGAGCCTCGCAGGCAAAATTTTGAAAAAACAGGCCAAAAAAACTTTTTTCAATTATTTGGAAAATTATCACCAAAACATTGCGTTTTTTCGGCGCGCGTTCCCCCTCAAAATTAGTATATATTGACGAGAAAGGCGCCTTTAGAAAATTTTTAGGGTTCGTCGTCGAAAACTGATGTCAGAAAATAAAACCCAATAAAACCGAGGGAAAGACACCTCGGTTGGTAAGTGGGACAAATGTTTCCACCGAGTACGAGTCTAGAGGGAAGATCGGATCGTATATCGGTTACACTGTTAAATGCTCTCATTAAAAAAAAACACCCTTGAATATTATTTTTTAGGTTGACCGAATTGATTTTCCGAGCTCTCCCAAAGAACTTAAAGGTCCTTGTTTGGGCCAAATATTGAGCCTCGCAGGCAAAATTTTGAAAAAACAGGCCAAAAAAACTTTTTTCAATTTTTTGGAAAATTATCACCAAAACATTGCGTTTTTTCGGCGCGCGTTCCCCCTCAAAATTAGTATATATTGACGAGCAAGGCGCCTTTAGAAAATTTTTAGGGTTCGTCGTCAAAAAATGATGTCAGAAAATGAAAACCAATAAAACCGAGGGAAAGACACCTCGGTTGGTAAGTAGGAGAAATGTTTCCACCGAGTACGAGTCTAGAGGGAAGATCGGATCGTATATCGGTTACACTGTTAAATGCTCTCATTAAAAAAAACACCCTTGAATATTGTTTTTTAGGTTGACCGAATTGATTTTCCGAGCTCTCCCAAAGAACTTAAAAGTCCTGGTTTGGGCCAAATATTGAGCCTCGCAGGCAAAATTTTGAAAAAACAGGCCAGAAAAACTTTT